GCCGCGTTTATAACGTCGAGCGGTACATATTTTACAGTTTTCTCATTCGTATAGCATTCCGTTAGTTCGCCATTACAAATTGCGGCCGGGGTAGCAACTCTTGCGCGCTTGGCGTTAAAAAATGCACGCTTCTTCACCTACCACGCGGAACATGATTAGCCCTCGCGCATTTAGCTTTCTGTCGTCTAGCGTATTTCGATCGCGTGCTCGCTCGCTCTGCTAAATTACACGTTCGCATGAGCGTCCTGCTAATCTTGTAATTAATTTCTGAAAATGACGCGGCGTCTCGTCGAGAATTCCGACTCGTCGTCCACGTATACTTTTGCTGTTTTCGAGAACAGCCCATTGTACGCGGGACGAAAGAGCGACCCGCGGTCGCCGGTTAGAAGAAGCGAGCTATAGTTTCGCGATGGTGACCTCGATGCGAGCGCGGAAACGCAGCCAAGGTCGCGGCTCGCCATTGACTGGCGCATTCAATGTCAATGAAGCCCGCGACGCGACTTTCTTGGGCGAAATCGATGTCGAATTTCGCTGCCCGGCCGGATGGCGAACGCGATAGCGTGACGCGAGCGATAAACCGGCGCAGTCTTGCCACGCCGGGGCTCTGCACAGCGTCGTGGGCTGCGTGGGGTGGGACCAACCCCGCCGCGTTCACCCTCGTCGTATCCTCCCTCTACGTTAATGCGTCGGGGCCGCGGCAAGAAAAGGAGCAAAAAGCCGCATCTGCGGGAGACCGTCGATACCAAACGTCGTCGGGCACCCTTGATATAGCGCGATAGCATCAGATAGTGTCTGCAACTACCGCAAATTCGGTATCTCGAAAATTGAGCTTGATTAGAAGAGAGGAAAAAAATGACGCTCCCTCTCGTGCGTCGCGAGTAATCGAGATTTTTTCATGGCTGTGCACACAATGCAGCTAATGGACAATGGAGAGATGTTTAATTGCTTTGAACTTTAAACTATGACGTCAATTTCCCGGATAATATTTCTGACTCTAAAGGTGGCCTTTAGCGACACGATGGTCACAGCTCTTTTCGTTGAAACGATATTTGTCTAATATTTTAGCGCGGATAGGATTCATTTCAATTTTTAAGCAATAAACGTGGCAAATTAAAATAATGAAGTTTAGTCCACATTTTTGGAAATTATAATCCCGTTTCTATAAAACAAATTTAAAGAGACTGATATTTGTTCTTAGAAATTTGACATGTGCGTTACAAATGTATGCGTTCGATTAACTTTTAGGCTTACGTTTACGTTTGAAAAATGATTGCTCCTCAGAGATTACGATCGCGATAGACCGTACCGAGAACTGCCACGCGACTCGATCTTGTCACGCGTGACGTATCAAGCTGAATGGTTGACAGAAAATACGGCCGTATGCCGAGGGCCGGTATCGATTCTCGCGGTTCATCGGAGTCGCGCACGTGAGAATACGCGGTCGGCACGCGACACCGCGATCGTTGCATGATCAAATACAAATGTCAACCTTTACGTAGCGTTGTTACGAAATCGTTCGCATAGGCACGCTCGTGACTTTTGCCCCGATACCCTCAGGCTCGATCTAAAAGCGCCGTCGGCGCTTCAACAGGCTTTGTAAAGCGCTGTACTCTGTTTCATAACTGGACAAAAGAACGAGTCTAAAAAGGCTTTCATAATTCCGCTTTTGAATCTGAAAGTACGTCGATGTGAAAAAGTAATATTTCAATATTCGAGGTAGCTAATGAAATACGCGAGTTATGTATTATAGTTACAGAAAAATTATTTCGTTCTGGTATCTTTGCCCATTATACAGATGCCATAGACAAAATTATTTGCAAATAAAATTGGAATTTTCTTTGCCGGTGTGTTGAAAATCAAATAAACTTAATGTAGTGACTTATCTGGCATTTATTATATTGGTCACAACGACGTTTCGATCGCGAATTGCGATCCTCTTCAGGTTATACAATGCGTGGTTGACTGATGTGGAAGCATTCAGTCATATCTACAAAAGTCAGTTTGTTAAAACTTAATAGAATAGTGTTCGTTTCGAAGTGCCGAGTAGGATAGACGTCTTTTTGAGATCGTGCTCGTGAAATGGGATATAAAGAACACTATTCTATTAAGTTTTAACAAACTGACTTTTGTAGATATGACTGAATGCTTCCACATCAGTCAACCACGCATTGTATAACCTGAAGAGGATCGCAATTCGCGATCAAAACGTCGTTGTGACCAAAATTATTTGCGCCCTCGTGATCATTATACTGCAAATCTAACAATAAGTGTGCTTTTCTGTACATATATGTGCAACGAGAGGGAAACCGCTGAGGGCATTATGGTGTACAGATTTGCGGCATTACTGGGCATTACTAGGCATTACTAGGCATTAGGCCTTGCTGGGGCATTATAAAAATAAAATAAGATAAAATAAGATAATAAGATAAAGTGTAATGCCCTGCACTGGGCATTAGTGGGCATTGGTACAAGATTTTGGTCAGCGGTTTCCTCTTCGATGTGTAATTTGGCACTTTTTGTACACTTTTTTTATGTTTAAAATCGCGACACGCGACTTGATAAAGGTCATTTACGCATTTCTTGCTGTTTAAAAAGAATCTTTTAAATGACGTATGTCAAGTCATACGTTGTGATTTTAAACGGAAAGAAGCGTGTTTTATTGATACGTCAATTTGTTTTATCTTATTTTATTTTTATAATGCCCCAGCAAGAGGCCTAATGCCTAAACTAATGCCCAAAAATGCCTGGGTAATGCCCAGTAATGTCACAAATCTGTACACCACAACGCCCTCAGCGGTTTCCCCCTCGGAAAGAAGCGTATAAAAAGTACTTGACCAAATTGCACGTATATGTACATAAAAGTGATGCACTTAGACTAGAAAGATTTTTATTGTTTAAAAGTTGTCTACTGCATAGAAGCACTGAACGCTTTACTAAACAATTTGAAGAAATTAGATTCAGTACGGTTTAACGATCAGGAGGATGGCGGTATTTATATACGCGAACGCGCAAATCTGAGCTAACAATTAACAACAGGCGTAATTCAATTAACTTAATTTCATTAATTGCAATTCAACTTTGTAGTTCTTCGTGGATTTTAGCTTCGTAGACTTTAGTTACCGCGCTTAACGCGACTTATAGCGCCCGAAGGGCGAATTGCGAAACGACCCCGCCGCGGCGCCGGTGCACCTGGAGCTGCGTTCTGCGAACGCGTTATCGCCTGCCCCTATCAATGCACCCTTGCCCGAGACCCTTTTTCGCGCTCGTGCGGCTCGGTACGCGAAATCGATAGTCCTGCAGGCGTGCGTGAGAAATCGAGCGAAGACCGACGGACGGACGAGAGGCCTGTCTGCAACTTGTGGCATTTACGAGCGCCTGCCGCCTCCTGCGCGTTAACGAAACTCGCATTGTCTCGTGACATGCCGCATTCTGAGAATTACATACAATGTTATATCCCGTAAAGCGTACGGCGTAAGAATTGAATTAGAGCGAGTCGCTCGGAGAGAGAGATGTGCTCCCAGCGTTGCGAAGGGGCGCAATTTAACAGCGACTTGTTAAGCTTACAGCTAAATGCGAACTCGGGCTTTACGCCTCGCTGAAAACGTCAGTGCAATATTATCATCTTGCAGTTGACGCATTGTAATTGTAACGTTATAACCGTCACGTTTCGCGATATCGCAATATTGTAATATCGCAATTGATTACAGCTCGATAACATTGTAATCATTACAACGTTGTCGGTTTAACTGTAATGATATCAGATTGTTATGTCACAAAGTAGGACGTGATGCGATGTCACGACAACAGGGTGTCGCGGAATATAAAACCGTTTCCTTCCTCCACTGACGTTTGCCAACGGCGCGGGCCGGGGGATAATTGGATGAGCGCGGCAGCATCGATGCATTAGGAGAACGCGGCGCATCTGCCACACGGAGAATTATGTTTCCAAGTGCAAAGGTTAATCCTATAGCCGCCCTCTCACAATTCCCGCTCTCCGCCAATTAGGGATTGCTCTAATATAGGATGATCTTAGGTCAACTTGCTCGTCATATAGAGCTCCCCTTTATACGACGTAATTAACCTCTCAGAATTTTGATTTTTGATGGCATTATTCCGAGACCGCGATCTGATCGAATAGAGATTGGCTCTGTAAAATTGAAAATCGTTATATTCAACGCCTAAACGAGTTCTCTGGCGTTTACTGAGGAATTTATCGACGGGACGTTGGGCGGTTCGTTCGCATAAAAAAATTTAACGCGGAAAGTTTGGTATATCCGTTAACGTTTAACGGCTATGTTGAACCTAACGAGATTCGATAACGGCGCGTCTGCTTATTATTTTTGACGCGTCGGCCGCTTTATCCAACAAATATTGGCGCGACGGTGTTTCGACATAGGATTGCAAATAAGACATGGCAATTTAGCATACAATGACGCGGGTTAATTAATTAATCATGGATCTGGCGCGACACTTAAAGATTCGGTTATTTTACGACGTTTACAACGTCGCGCTATAAACCTTCGCTTATATTCTATTCTAATTCGTTTTATTATTGTTTTTAAAATTATATTATTACGCTACGTTGCCGCGTCTAACTAAAACATATCAATGATGAATGCGAGGCGGTCAACAGTATGGCATTCTTGTTATATTGGATTTATTGGTTACGATATTAAACCGTAAATAACAAATGTGTTTCTGATGTTCTCGCAAATTGCACACGAAATTATTGTTCCATTGTCTTTTGTTATTTGATAAATTATAAACGAAGCAAGAAGTTTCCTGAAACCGCGAAATAATTATCGAGGATCACGCGGCAAAAGAAACAGGTGATCGTGCGCGTGTAAAATAATCTCGAGGCTTTCTCGCGTTATGAAACTTATCAATCCGCGAGCGCAGGATTACTTCAATTTGTCATAATGAAAAATGATGTTTGCTCTCGCGAATGCACACAGATGAAATCTGTCTTAATAATGTTTGCAAAATTCTTTAGGGCGTACCTGAGACCACTGATATCCCTATCACTATCCACGAGGATAACAGCAAAGTCACGAACTGCAGTCCAGGTCTCTGCATGATGGATGACACACGTCTGTCGTTCGATCAATTGCAAAGATCACTTTGACATCGTAGTCACTTGCGGCTTGAGACCGCACTGATTCGGCGAAGCTATTCTCTCGCCAAAAATGCACCGCGTCCGTTACATTCGTCTTCCTGTTAAGTGAGAGAATATTAAAATCATAATTCACTTAACAAAGTGTGATTCGCGTTTAATAATTCCGAGGGGGAAACCGCTGACCAAAATGTTGTACACAGGCTCACTAATGCCCAGTGGGTATGACTTTATCTTATTATCTTATTTATCTTGTTTTATCTTATTTTATCTTTATGATGCCCCAACTAATGCCCAAAAATTGCCTAGTAATGCCCAGTAATGCCGCAAATCTGTACACCACAATGCCCTCATCGGTTTTCCCCTCGAAACTGATGGTACAATCCAAAATATGCTTTGCATGAAAGTACTTTACTTATGAATTAGCGAGGGGGAAACCGCTGATGAAAATCTTGCACACCAATGCCCACGAATGCCCAGTGGGCATTACTTTATCGTATTATCTTATTTTATCTTATTTTATCTTTATAATGTCCCAGCAAGGCCCAATGCCCAAACTAATGCCCAAAAAATGCCCAGCAATGCCTAGTAATGCCCAGTAATACCGCAAATCTGTACACCACAATGCCCTCAGCGGTTTTCCCCCTCGAATAATTCCCTTGCAGAATGCGAGATTTTCGAAAAATGACAGAGCAACTGCGATTGACTTTCGTAGAGCAACGACGTTCTTTCTGACGCAGAGATATATAAGGTGTCCCGTCAAGGAATGTCAATATTTTCGGAGATAATAACGGCGATCGTTTTGAAAATAAAAGAGGATGTATAAATCCGTGTAGGATTTCGCGAGTACTTACTCTAGATTGTGAATTGAAGTGAGGATAACATGTTGTTGAATTGTGAAATCCTATCGTACATACATCAGTTGTGTCTCGAATCTCGTGACATTGTCAATTACTTCCGTTGCGTTTTAAATTAACGTATTCCGCATATAGTACGATAATTTGATGGAAAGTTTTTCATTGATTCGTTCTCTCTGGACAAATATTCGCACTTTTGCGCCAAAATAATTAGTGCTATCCAAAGAAATTTCTTTACGGTACACCCTGTAAACGTCGTTTATTTGCGCGCGTTTGTAAAAATGTGTGCTAACGCGATGCTTCCCGCGCCGAAGTTAAGGGGAAAACGCTATCGTTAACGAAAGCAATGCCGATTATTGTTAACCGAGCGCAATCATACCTTCTCGCGGGATCCGCTATACTTGCGGCCGTGGCCGTGCGGCAACCGGAGCGATACGGAGCGGCGCTGATCTCGCAAGATGGTTTTTTACTGCGTCAAATCGGTGTCTCATTTTTCAATATTGCGTTTCACGGTTTTGCTGGAGACGGTATCGTAGGGAAAAGAGGCGGTATCCAGACGTCGCGACGTTACGGCGTTGCGGCCAATACTAACACGACGTTGGGACACCCGCCGTTATCAGACACAATTTTCCACGCGTGCGCACGCGCCCCTCGAGGAACCCGGGGGCTGCTGAAGCGGTGCGGGGTGACGTGGGGCGACAATGCCGAGGGAATCCCCTATGGTCGCACTGGGAATAGGTGCGACTCCTCTTTTGCACGTCGTTCGTAGGCTCAGGACTACGCTCGTATTTCGATTATTACCGCCTCGGTACGCAGTAACGATTTCAATGGACGGTTTTACGAAGTGCGAGTGCATTCGAGCCACTTTGATTTGTAACAGAAGTCGTTCGATCTACGGCGGAAAACTTTTGGTTTAGGAAATTAAATGTATAGAAATTCAGTAATCAAATTGAAATTACATTGAATAAGAATTGAAATCAACATTGATTAAATAACGAAGTTAAAGCCAAATTTTGCAATCGGCATTTTCAAGAAACAGTTTTATGAAATGGTGAATAATTTTATGTAACACTAACAGTGTGAAAAATATAAAAATGGTTAAAATCTCTCATATCGATAAATATTAAAATAAAGTATTTTCACAAGAAGTCTGTAGCTTGAACAATAATTCAAGCTACTTTTAAATAAATTTATGAAGATGAGCATGCACTTAGGAAGATGAAAATATTCTACGTTTATCTCACAAATTACTAAACCATTCACAATCAATTATTTCAATCAGAAGTGTAAAATAGCTTACAATACAAACTTACAAGGGCAAGAATACATATTAAAAAATATTTAACATACTTAAATATTTCGTAAAGGAATAAACATTTTTTAAACGATACTTTATCAATTCGCGATAGTTTATTATTTCATTGAATCGTCACGTTTAAGCACGTTTCAGATTTATTTCTTTTATTTTGACTTTCGCGTCCATCTTTTAAAGCAAAACTGTGCTTCGTATCGATCGCATTCTGTCTCATCTACGACACGTTACATTATTCGCATTATTCGCCCTCCTCCTAATTCGGTTAGAACATCGATTTGACGGTGGGCTCGCTCCGCTTCCCACTTGCTTCCCGTAAACAGGAGGACTCATGAAATCGTAGATGTTAGTTCTCCCTTAATGCCAAGCCCGTAGTTAGGGGAATGCCGTCGCGTTTCTCCCTTATTTTTCTTAGGACGCTTAGACGCGTGACATGCGTTTGATTTAGAGCACGACGTTCAGACGCCGGCGTTTTCTCAGTCTCGCGGACGTTTCATTCGCGATGGAAAGCTTCTTTATGATTTAGCGACTTTCTCGTCGACAAGTACACTTAAGTAAATACTCCCTCCTGCTCAGAGTCGTCTTCATATTTTTCGGGAACCCTTGGGTATTCAAATCATTTGTTTAAGTCTTATTATGTAACCGAACAAGTAATATTATTCGACCATAACTGACGGAAATCTTATTATATATAAGTTATTACAGCAAAGTATTGTTTCCATTACTACCTTAAGGCACATAAATTTGAGTTTATTTTCAAAGCTATTTAGTTTTAAATCTTATCTTAAACATGTCTAAGAAAACAATAAGCCATGTTTGCGAACAAAAATAAACAAGGAATTTTTAAAGAATATTAAAATAAAATTTATCGAATAGTTTCTCCAGTATTATTGATTCCAGAAACTTGGGGACAGATTCTTTTATATCGTTCGTAACCGATAAAGGATATTTGTCTGTTATTTTCTCATGCTCAAGACGTTACTGCAATTTCTTCCGCGTGTTTTAGCGAAGATTGCGCGTTGCCGTTTCGCTTGTTCGCAAAGTTCGCAAAAAGTTAAATCGATCGGGGCATCAGAAACAAATGTCCAACATATGATTTACGATTTGTACAACGTATAGTCGTCGGTGGTGACCTTTGAATGATGCATTTGCATTGCGTCCGCATGATATGCATCCTGCTATCAATACATCTTGTCACAAATCGAATGCTGCAAAATTGCGAATAGAAAATTCGGTGCGATTTATGCGACGTATTTTATTCTTGAAATAAGATCGAGAAAAATTGATAGCTTCCTTGTGAAATTTGATTGACGCGACATTAGACAGTTTTTAGGCAAATAAAAACTGTATCTTGATAATTTTTACTAATTTAGTCAATCGTTTTTATTATCATGTAAATTGCACAATTTACATATATTTAATTTATGAGAATAATGCGATTTAATTCAAGGTATAAAAATAAGGAATTGTGAAAATTAGCACGTTATATAAATTATGCCATACTTAAGCTATGGCAGAAGTTGCGCACCTTCTTCGAATGAGAGGAATTCGTTAAATTTTATTTTATTATTCCTAAAACTTTTCTAGCTCTGAAATCAATATTGAAATAATATTATTTTCCTTAACTTAATTTCTAGTATTTGTATTATAATTGACGAAAAATACGCGATATCAAAAAAATCTCCATATTAACGCTACAGGGAAAAATGACATAATGTCCATGTGGTTGATTAGCTCTATGTATTCTACGCTACGAGGTCCTCGTTAGAACGGTATAGTCAAGAGATTAGAGTCCCCATCTCGTGTAATCTGTGTGTTTTTATATAATTCTTGCCACGTGTGTCTGTTTTGTATGACTGCATTGCAGCATGATGTACGTGTATGACAAAATGGCGTTACTTTTAAAGTAACGAGGATTATTTTATGTGTAAAAAAATCGTAAAAATTTCATCAAAAGACATTGACTCTATGGAGAACTGTTTTTATGAATTATTTTTGATAGTCTGAAATTGTCATTACGCCTTGCTGGGTCATTATAAAGATATAATAAGACAAGATCAATAAGATAAATAAGATAAAATAAGATTATGAGATAAAGTAATGCCCACATTAGTGGGTATTGGTGTACATGATTTTGGTCAGCGGTTTCTCCCTCGATTAAAACCTTCTTCCATTTTCGATTGCGGTAAAATTCAGAAATTTTAGTGCGCCTTTTCAAGCCGAGCGATAAATTCTGAGGCTGTCTTCTTTATGTCGATCCGTTGCTTGCAATATTTCAGGATTAGCGTCCAGCATCCACGCGGCTACGGGGCACGCGAGCTCGTTTATTAATCGATACAGCGATCATAACATTTTATTGTCGCGACGTACGGTGAGACCGCGAACGATATGCCGGGTACATTATCGCATTTCTATCGTTCCACGAGTGGGACGCTGACAATCGCATCGTGAAATTTTTTATCTGTATGCACGCTGCACTAAAGATAAAACTCACCCCGTGAAATAGTCGCGTAGATTGTAGCGTAGTGACGTTGTTTGCCGTCGGGTGTTACGGCTGGTCAAGTCACGAGCTGTCGATTCTCGTCATATCTTTCGGGCTTCCAAATTCACTCCAGATAGGACAGGCGCATCGAAAATATCATGTACCAAAAATACTCAATAATTAAGTTTACCACAATTGAATAAAGTTCCGACGATTTCTCAAACGTCAAAAATTCTATTTATCAAATTGAGTGAGCTTATGTCGTTAGTGGTAATTAAACACGCGAGAGTTCTTTTAAAAATCGACCAGACTGGCATAAAAAGTGATATACATATATTTAAGTTACAACGTTTCAGCCTCTTTATCGGGTCCTTTTCAAGAGTACAATCTAATGTTGACTGAACAAACCAATCTGATGCCGAAGCAGAATGAGTTCATTGGTAGCAAATTTATGTCATATAACTGTATGTCTCGGTAGTCAGTGGATTTTTAATAGCAATGTCAATTTCTAAAATTTTCGAGCAGCAACCGTACGTTAGTGGATCTCGAATAAAACTGTTCTAATTCTATTTGCCATCTGACGGAGACATGATTCTTTTCGTAAAGAGATACAAGGGATATTTGTGGAGAAAACATTCAGTTATTTTCGAGTATAACCGTAATGGATGCGACATAAAACCTTGCTAGAATCGTCATCTCGGATTGCACGTAACGAAAAGTTCATGCATCCCCGAGTACTTCAATCCGAAGGAACCCTGTATCCCAGGAACGTGTTTTGAGCAAGAAAATGGAGTGCCCCTTGCATAGTAGTAATGGCCGGCCTGGGATAGCGCGCGCGAGGGGTGCATTTCAATTGATCCACCGTTATCGCGAGGAGGGTTCGTTGACCAACATTATCGTATATAACGTAGCGCACGCGAAGTCTCGGTGTGCGCTTGCTTGGAATGTCCTTGAAGAGCAATCGCTTCTCCATTAAGGTCACCGACGTTATTAGTTGTTCCATAGGTATGCTTGATTACAATTAACTGATGCAATTAAACAAAAGGGAGCTAACGGAGGAGTTTCTCTGATTGGTTTTAAATCTTACCTAATTGATCGAAGGTAATGTGTACAGAATTTATTATACAGTTCTGTTCAGTGAAAGATTTCGTTGATTGTTCAACGAAAGCAATGTTTAACTGTTTATTTTTTCTTCTGAATTTCTTATAATTATTTCGCACATGGATTCATTGAAATCCGGATTGGAAATTAGCCACAGAACAGTAGAAGGGAGACATTAATTACCGTCAATCTTTTAATCTTTAATTTCTTACCATTATAGTAATGGGCATTTTTTTAATTTCTGCCATCTACGATTCGAAGCAGGTGCGTGATATTCGTGAAAACACCTTTCATGTGTATTAAGTCCTTTGTCTCAAAGCAGGATTTTGTGCTTAATGGATCTGAAATTTCTCTGAAGGGTTGTTCATTTATTTTCACAATTCATTCCGCAAACGCACTCGATTTCTCGATTGTCCGTAGGAAAATCAATATCCAGAGAATGATTCTCTCTTCTCTTCTCCCACTGCGCTTTAATTGCTCTCTTCAGCGATGTTAGAATGTCTATTTGTAGTATCGAATGGCGTTTTTGATGAACAGAAATTTCCTTAGAATCTTTTTTACCTTTGTATCACGACATTTCCGAGTTTCTCGTTCGTTTAACGAGCGGGGGAAAACGCGCGATTATAAATTGATGCCACTGACAAAACAAAAAACGCAGGCGAACGAAATTTTTTGTGCGTCG